AGCAGCACACTTCTTTTCCATGGCACAGACTCCTTTGCAAGAGCACATGAAAACATCCACACTGCTGAACTACTCATATGCTGCAGGACACGGAGCCCCTGTAACAGCAAGAAAATGAAAATATCTTTGCGTGGAAACTTTTGCATGTAGTGAATACATATATCATTGTTTCTAGCTAGACACTGTAGCCTAGGATTGCAGTTCATAGAACTAAGGTTAGAAAACACCACTAAGTCCAACCACAGTTTTCAGACTACACAAAGATGTTGTCAGAACCGACGCTGAAAGATGGGAACAGAGTTAGCAGCAAACCCCAGTGCCTGGTTTTCAGTGCCTCTCTTACCTTCGCATTCTCCTCAGTGACCACGTAAAGACTGTAAAGATTGCAAAATGAGGTCCCTTTCCAATAATATTTATATTTGCTAAGAAATATTTTACGTCTAAAAGAAACTGACTAAGCGCATCAAATGATGCCATAATGTTTCAGTCTTACTGTCCATGAAGAAGCATTTTGAGACCGAATTCTCCCTAATTTGATAGATGCGTAGAAAAGTAGGTATTTTTCAAACTCCCTAAGTGAGATTTAATTTCAATACCTACCTACTAATTTAAATGCAAAGAAGCTAAATTGAAAAGAGGCATCATATAAAATTCACAGGGGATCAATACGCAGTCAGATAGTCAGAACATCTGCTTATAAAAATGTCTGTGTATTCTATTTTATTTTAAGTGTATCGACTTACCTCAATAATTTTTCTTTGAGAAAGATGTAATTAAACTTGCCCAGATGGACTTATGAGTTAAACAGAGAAAAACATAATGTACCTAATCATCTGCGTGCGAGAGAAATGAGAGAACGGCACTGATATTGTATCTAATTTTATAATTTGGGAAATCGTGGCCTAAATCAGAGTCAGGTCACATCTAGCGAGGGCTTTGCTGCTGGCAGAACAGGAGCACGAAATGGGTGCAGACCAATCCTCTGCAATCACAGTAAAACTTGCCGTATAATCTCTAAATAAGCATTCATTACGTATAATCGCATACATTTTCCAACTTCCCCTCTACAGCAACGCACAGCTGGATGATAATGTAGAATCCCATCTGGAGGCTAAAAGTCTAGCTGTTTCAATTTTATTTAATTGTTGCCCACTTCAGATTTAATTGTTCTTATCTCTTAGCTCTTCCCCTCAGAAGTTTTTTCTAATTTGACTTTATTTTCCTCATTTAAACTGACCTCTTTTATCTTCAGCTCTCCAGACAACAGTAGTAGCTTCCTTGTACCAGTTTGAAAACCCCTCTAACATGAAGACTGTATGTAACATCCTCTCCAAGATGGCTTCAAGGTTTAATACAAGGCATGAACTTGCAACCTTTTCCATTGGAAATTCCTTCCTAAAGCCTGTTCATAGAGCTTGCATAGCTTTTCCCTGACGTTAGAGGAATGCTAGATGGTTCTGGCATGAGTTAAAGACACTTGAACTCTACTTAGCAACAGAAAGCACAAGGGAAGAAGGACTTTCCTGAGGAGGACTCCAGCCTAAGTGCTCAGAACAGACTTGTGCCAGCTCCAGCATCACCTCCACCGCATCTTTCAGGAACCCAAACTGCCAAATGTTATCAATGCCAAATTGTAATACTTATGGTCTTTGCTTCAGCACTTACAGTTGTTCTTACCATGAAAAGAAGAAATTCTACAGCAGCTCATCCCATTAGCTAGAGAACAATTTTCATCTACTGCAAAATCATCCCTTGGACATGATGAGAACACAACACGAAATCAATTCAACCACATTCAAGAGGCAGTAACAATTGGGACACAGGCCAAGTTCACACAAGACTCAGCCTGAGGAGGGGAGCTGGGGAGCTTCACACTAAAACCCTGGTTTTACACACCATTACAAGATACCTCAACAAAAGACAGATGAAAAAGAGTTCCATGATCGCAGGAGATTAACAGAATTTGCTAATAAGGATTGTTGGGGTACATTTATAAAGCATATTTAACAGACTATGCTATTCACCACATACCCTCTGAGCAAAGGGATTACTTTGCCCTTTTGCTGTTTGGGGGTCACCTGGCCTTCCTCCCACCTTCATGACTCTCCTGAAATTCAGAAAAAAACCTCAGAGTATTAAGGATGAGCCTGATCTCATCTGCATAAACCTCCTACAAACTTCAGTGACAGCTTTCCAAGAGCCAAGAAGCCAAGGGCTGCGTCGTGTTGGAGAAACGGTATTAATAGGAGTTATTCAGAGCTTTATCTACTCCAAGTGCTGTGCAAACAGTAATTAGGCAATCGGGTACAGAAATGCAAAGTGCTGCAGAACTGACCAAAACATAAATTAATTAATTATAGAGCGGCAACAGATTAATCATTTTCTAGCTAACATCAAAGCACTAGTCGTGGGAACTACGCAGCACCAGAAAAAAGCACTGAACAAAATGAACTGCCATACCACTTACAGAAGACCAACATTCAATATGTACAAATACTTCTTAGTCTAATTATTTGTATTCAGACATGAAATCTAGCAGAACTTTTTCTGTACATAACCTACATCTGTTTGGATAAACACATGCATTCAAATTGGCTTGTAAATATTCATCTCTGTAGGAACTTAATTTGTAACAGATTGGGATGCCCAGATCTCACTGGAATTCAATGGGAACTGGTGAAGAAACGTCCAACATTTCTTGAAAAATTACCCTTCATTTGATGTAGACCAGCCCTGCTGGTTATGTGTTATTTTATGCTTCCTATTTGTGTATTAAGTGATCAGTACCCACACTAACTTAGGCCTTGTATTGTTACAGAATTTGAAAGTCTGAAAATGAAGTATCAAAATGAGACACTTTGTGAATATATATACAGTGCACGGTAAGTTTTCTCACACACACATTTGCTCATTAAAGCCAGCTCTTTTCTCAAGCTGCACTGATATAAATTACAGTGATTTTTGTGCAACAGTGGAATGCACTTTAATACTGACTGCTTTTTTTCCCAATGAATTACATAGCCATGCTCTAAACACTCTGGCCTGAACCACTGCTGAGGCATCTGGCTATGCTGTATCAGCTTGTGTTTCTGAAGCCACTCCAGTCTCCCTGTTCGGAGCAGATACAGCTGCCACTGCACCTTCCCTTTCACAAACCAAACTTCTGGAAACAGAAGCATCATTAAGGGGCTGCAAGAGCAGTTTGCTTATTAAGCTGCTGTGTTTACATGGCGCTTACTAAGAACAGAGGGAGAGCCTAGCTTGTGCTGAGTGGAGATCTTTGTTGGTAAAGGACGAGAGCAAGTGCAAGAGTAGAAAGCAGAGCCCAGGAGGCTGGGCATGAGAGCAGGCCATGACAGCAAAGCAGAAGCACTCCTCAAGGGTTGCCAGGTTCCTTCATCCTCTGCCAAAACGTATGTGGATCTTCACAGGTTAAATCACGTTATAAAATATGCACATGCACACTCACACAGGTAACGCCTTTCTCTGAGCATGTCTGCAGCTCATTAGCATGCAAATAAGACTTCAGCAAGGAAGCTCCTTACTACAGGAAGCTAACGAGGAAAAGATTTGCCTAAGAGTCACAAAAAAGCAGGAAATTTCCTGTCAGGTTGCCCTGCATGTCACAGCCTTGCTGCTAGGCCTGGAAGCTGACCAGGTGCACTGACCAGGCGCAGGCCTGACCGCCGCTGTGCTGCACCTCCTGCAGGACAAAACCATCTCCTCACTCACTGCCCACTGCACAACTTGCACTGAGCATCTGGGAATCAACTCAGTAATAGGAGAGTGATGTGGTGCTAGGAGGATACCCAATGCCTGGCAAAGATGAGAAGAAACGCTGTTGCATGTTCTGCTGAAGCTTTCATTTTGCTGACCTTAGATTTTCTGCAACAGATGCCTAAAATACAGAAATTACAGTACAAAAATATTTTCCATGATTTTGTTTTTCCATAGTTTTGTTTATTTGCTTGTAATAAAGGCTCTTGCTTTCTGTGTTCCCGCAGCATATCTTCTGGAGGGTTACAGCTCCTGGGCACTGCATTGCAGAATCTCTCTGCATCCAATTTTCTGCCAGCTCACAAACTGTCACAGCACATTTAGGAAAACTTGGAACCAAATTTCAAAAATAGGGGCCAATATGTACAGGAATAAAAGCACCTCTTCATTCAGTAGAGCCAAGCAAAAGAAAGCAGGTGATATTAGAAGCAGTTTGCTATTACCTAATGCTGAAATAGGGCCCTGACAGTGCTCACGTGGAAAACACGCACAAGTTACTGAACAAAATACTGAGTGCGAAGCAGCAGATAAATTAGAGCAAACAAGATGAACACCAAAGTGACACATGCATTAATTAAAATCTAACAGCCCCCACTCAGAACAAAACACGTCAGAGAACCACAGCAGTGGCAGAGCCTGTGGCAGCAGAGCTGCTTGCCTGGCAGGAGCTTTGCTGGCCCTTTGTAAACCTGAGATGTCTTCAGGAACTGTTTCATCTGCAGAAAAATGGCATTCTTCAAAAATTTTATTTTGCTCAAAACAGTGCAACTCTCAGGGGAAAAAATAAAAACAAATGTAAAATACGACAGCAGCAGAAGATGGTTTTATTGATGAAATATGTTATTCTAATTATTTGTTAAATGAAGTGTGCTCTTAGCTGTAACACTCCTCATAACACCGCTTTAATGGGATTTAAAGCTATACTCTACGTGGGTTTAATTGGGCATTGAAATACTTAGCACTGAACGTGAGAAAACAATGTTTGTCAACAGCAGCTTGGATTGGGAGATGGGCAGAGCAGAGCTCTGAAACGTGGGGCTTTTGCTATGCTGATACTGTTCAGCTGGCTAAGAGCATCAATGCGATCTGAGCAGCAACTTCTGGTAACACCAGCCATGGAGCACAGCCTAGTTTTGCCATTTTGTCATTGGAATGTAACATGCAGCAAACTTTTGCTTTGGTGCAAACATCCTAAAACAGAAAGTGTTAAAACAATGCTTTACCTGCAAGGCACACCATGAATGATTGCAGCACGAGCAGCTCCCATAGCAACCTCATCTTCAGCTTCCCAGAGCAGAGGAGACAAGTTCAGGAACTGCAGGAGAGAACCAGGCTCCGTGGAAAACTTAGGCCACTTTTAATCTGTAAAAGAGAAAAAGAGATTACAAGGAGACCTAGGATTGCTGTTCCTTCCATTTGTTGAAAGTTTACTTTTCTTCCCATGGAAATCACATCTTAAGATCAAGAAAGAAACTTTCAAAAACACTAAACTGAAATCATTCTGAGAAGCAGTAAGATGAGCAATGGTGTGAAAAAGAGAAAAAGAAGCTTGTCAGGAGAGAAGCATGGAAGCTTACGCAGAAAACTAGCTCTGCAAAGCGAGGCTCCAGGTGCACTGGGCACCAGCTCGGGATGCTAAGATGCAGCCCCAGGTCTCTACATGTCTGCATTGCTCCATTTTCTCTCAACAGCAGACTAAGTGAGTCTCTCTCTGGAATAGCTAGTAAATAGTTAGCTCGGTAAACTACAGTTAAGAAGAAAGTTAAAAGAATCACTCTCGCTTCTCTCCACAAATGCCACCCTCAGGTGAAGCAGACCACCTCTCCAGGCAATGCTTGCTAAGCAGCATTCTCATCCTGCTCAGGGCAACGGAATGTGTTTCCAGTCTCACCTCTTCAATGTCCTGGAAATCTTCAAAAATACTTTCAAACATCTGGTGAACCCCAATCGTTTGCTCATTTCTCAATTTCAATTAGTAAGCAGCTGTAATTTTGAAGCAGGGAATCTGAAGATGCTCTGCTTATCACTGCAGTACATCTACCCTGCACAACGCAAGGGCAAAAAAAAAAGTTTCTCTCATGAAAGAAACCTTTTCCAGAGCAAGCATTTAAATATTAAAAAATAAATAAATCAAGCCAGACACACTTTCTTATAACTTATTTATATCACTGAAGGCTGGAAGTTAAGGAGCCTTCGTGCTTACAAGACAAACTGCATGACTAATAGCATGTGAAGGGCTATCATTAGAGGTCTCCGCTTGCTTTTGTGAGATAAAATTGATAGGATTCCTCTAATAAAGTCAGGTTGAATGCACTGAGAAGACTAAGAATCTGTCTTCTGATGCAATTTTGAAGAGGGTAGAGATTAATTGAGTATATTCATCTCTTCTCACGCAGACTGATTAGGCTAGCTGGGGTTAGCAGGAAGGCCTAATCAATGGAAACTAATAACATCTTAAGTGAGTGATTAGAGCATTAATTATTAATTTTTCTAGGAAAATGCCATCATAGACCTTTATATTGATTTACAAAGTTAAGCAGTTACTCTGTGTTTTATAGGGAACTCAAGAAATGTATTTGTTTGCCCTCTGCAGTCTGCACAGACGTACAAACACTTTTGCCTCTCTGCACCAAATTCTGTTGGTTACAGCTGTGCCCCTACAGGAGACTTCCACCAAAGGCAAAAAGCTTTTGGTGCTACACTCACATCAGTGAGACTGGAGACAAATCCTACATTCACCAGCAGCTGCTGAAATACTTTTGTGCGCTTGTTTTCCCATGTACCATTCCCATCAATAAGCCCACTGTGTCACTTAAAAGGCTGCTCTTCATTACACCATAGTGCAATGCTTTATGGATGCTCTCCTTACTGCAATAAGCTACCTGAGACTGAAACAGAACAATCACTTACAGCCATTGATACCTAATTAAAAACACAAGAAGTACAGCACTCATCAACTTAAACCACTGCCAGGATGCCCCTGGAAAACACTGCAGACCTGCCAGCCTGCAGGAAGGCCAGCCAGCACCACTGGGAATATAAAACACAACATCTGACCACAGCTGATCAAAATGCCTGCATTTGTTTCACGGGCTTTGAGGGCAGTGCTTCTAGAGAAGCGATGGAGATGAGAAACTGTTCTTCACGGAGGACCATGGAGCAGGCAGTCCTGTTTGTAGATTTCTCATGCTCCTCTTCATAGAATCACCAAGGTTGAAAAAGACCTACTAGATCATCCAGTCCATCCACCCATCACCAATAGTTCTCACTAAGCCACGTCCCTCAACGCAACGTCCAAATGTTCCTTGAACACCTCCAGGTTCAGTGACTCCACCACTTCCCTGGGCAGCCCATTCCAGTGCCTGGCCACTCTTTCAGAAAAGTAGTATATCCTAATGTCTACTCCCCAGGGCTGCTGGGTTACCTATTTCATTCCCTGCTTTTCTGTCACTGCAAGAAAACCCTCAAGTCCTCACCTCCTTACTGCTCCCTGCTGCTGCTCCTGATGCCCCATCCCTCTGGAGGAAGGCTGCAGCACTCTGCCTGCTTACACCTATTCTACTCACAGCTTTCTGCAAACTACTTTATATTCCATTCAGGAAATCATGCTTCTCTAAGCATTTTAAAAACTAATACAAAACATTTCCAAAGTATTAATGTAAATTAGTTTTTGGCTTATAAGGGCATTAAAAATAGCAGGCTCTTTCTTTCTTTCTTCCCAGGATGATTTCGCACAGTCACTGGGTCTTGCTTTCAGACAAAAATAAAAGCTATGCTAAAAATACACATTTTTAGTACTCAGCAGAGTTAATAATTAAGCCAACTGAAAAAACTGAAAGTCTTCCCTAGTGCTTGGTTGTTCAAATATGCTCCATAGAACCAGCAGACATCAGAGGGTCACAGATGTCCTTCAAAGAGAAAGAAATCAGGTTCCCTAATGTTACCACAACACACACCAGTGTGGTACAGGAAGTTTCCCAAAGAGAAATGCTGCCTGTCTTATCATAACAAATAGCGAAAAGTAAATGAGATGATCACAATTACCAATATTTTCCTAAGGTTAAAATACAGCTGTATTCAAGATGCTGCTGCATTTTTGTTTCTCATGATAGCTCCCCATTTCACATGTGAGTGACTCCAATCTCAGAAATATTTTCCTGTAAACATAGCTGCTATTCATATCAGTAGGCTCCTTGTTGAAGTCTCCGTAAAGTGTTGAAACACAATTTTTTATGGTAACAACTTTGGGGAACACAGTACTCGTATATGAGCAAAAGATATATAATTGAACAGATCCTTCCCATTTCTAAATGTTTTCTGACTATAACATCCCAGGGGGTTTTGCTTCGCTTCTGAAGCACTTCAAAATATTTTCTTTCCAGAACGAAGCGTATGCAGTTTCAGCCCTATTTCTAAAAAGACAAAAATGACAAGTGCTCGCAGTTTGGGAGTGCATCCCATTAGAAAATATAAAGGCAACACACATGTGCAGATGTCTAAAGCTGACTCTAAGAGTTCTGACTGTAACAGGGAGTGAGAGGGAAAAAACTCACGTGCAAGGAAAAGGGAAGATGTGGCACTAAGGCCGTGACAGTGGTTGTGGTGGGGATGGTTGACTTGGTGATCATAGTGGTTCTCCTCCAACCTTCATGACTCTACAGCTCTCATTTCTGTGTGGAGGTAGGGCTTGTTGCCAGTAATTTCAATTTGCATTTTTAATGAGTAGCACTTTTGAACAAACACAATAGGATAAAAATATAAGAAAAATATAACAACAACAACAAAAAAAAAAAGGTTAATGTATAAGAATGCATTCAACACATGAAAAACATCCTTTAGATGCAACTCCCTTCTCTCACTCTGCTGCAGCTTTCAGCACAATGTTAAGAGCCCACTTTGGTCTGCAGAGGCTCCCAAGAATATTCTGAAGGAAAACTTTCAGAACTTGTCTCCGGCCCCAAAGCACTGCAGCAGCACCAAGAAGCCTTAGCAACCAGCTCACGTTTTCCTTCTGCACACCAGTGCACCACACGGTGCCAATTCTGTGAAACTCCAAAATAAATCACTGTTAATGAAGCATGCTGCACATACAGACAGCAACAGGCATCTTTTAATCACCTAAACAAAGAAGAGCCAGAGGTAAGCACAAAGCACACTGAGCACCAGCACAGGAGCTGCCAGTGGATGCAGCAGCACCTGCCTTGCCCAAACTTCCAAAGCATTACCAATCTTTCTAAACTGCAGTGCAGGATTATAAAAGTAGCCTTCAAACTTGGTGCAAAAAGAGAGCAGAGCGATGGGCTGCCCCGACCAGCGTGGAGACTGGCATAGGTTCCCTTTAGCAGAATGCCAATAATCTGCAAAACTGAACATCCAATTACAAAAGGTACCTAAAAGATGTCCCCATGAAGTTGGGGTCTTTGCAGTAGGACTGTTTTTCACATAGATTTTTTCACTGCTCAGTTCCTTTGTGGCAGCTGTTATTATGAGCCCTGAGATAAGTATCAGCCTTCCAAGAGAGGCCCTTTTGCATCAGGAGAAGAAAAGGGAATTCAAAGGGCATCCGGGGGAACAGAGGGGAGCAGGAGCATCTTGCACTGCGTTCACAGCGTGTCTGTCAGATCCTGATCCATCTCAAGCTGCTTTGCTGAAATTATCCCTTCTGGAGCTGTGCTTATACACAATTCGTGTCTTAGGAAATACATATGGGTGTAACGTGCATGATAAAACAAATGACACACATACACCGTGTTTCTGAGACATGCCTATGATAAATGGGGATGAAACGCTTCAAAAAATTAATTATCTAATAACAAGACTGAGAAAAGCAACGTCAGTTTTTACATTCTGTTTTGTCCTGCAGGCATTTGTTCCCACCCATGAGACAGAGATTTTGTTTCACTCTACCCAGGAAGCTGTGGCCCCTCAGCACACACACACTCCCAGCTCACTCCCTTCATTTGTATTTGTCAGGTTCCCTTCTGCGTGCCACAGCCTTCCTCTCCTGGAAGGCAGCAGCCAGAGCTCAGCTGTCCCCTAGGAGGACGACAAGGCACACAGGTACGTGGCATGGGTACAGCTGCCAGGCTGAGCACAGCTGCTCACATGTGCCCTGATTGCACCAACCACATCCACACAGCCAGCGTTCTTCTAACGGCGTCAGCAAAGACCGCTGAAAAACAACTCAGTAAGCATCCAATGCAGTGAATCACAACCCATAGCACTGAAACATACTTTCTGCTGCCCTGCTTGGATGTCAGCAGGGGCTGATTTCACCTCCTCCAAAACCCATCCAGCTGTGGCCAGCTGTGCCAGGCAGGGCAGCCCTTCTCTCCCGTGCAACACCAGGTGTGCACTGCTGC